GTAGTAGTTCCCTCACAGATGGTGTTATGAGGGGCCTCACGTGGTGTAATAATTCCCTCACAGATGGTGTTATAGGGGCCTCACGTGGTGTAGTAATTCCCTCACAGATGGTGTTATAGAGGGACCTCCGTGGTGTAATGGTACCTCACAGATGGTGTTATGAGGGGCCTCACGTGGTGTAGTAATTCCCTCACAGATGGTGTTATATGAGGGGCCTCCGTGGTGTAATAATTCCCTCTAGATGGTGTTATGAGGGGCCTCTCGTGGTGTAGTAATTTCCTTTCACAGATGGTGTTATGAGGGGCCTCCACGTGGTGTAGTAATTCCCTCACAGATGGTGTTATGAGGGGCCTCTCGTGGTGTAGTAATTCCCTCACAGATGGTGTTATGAGGGGCCTCACGTGGTGTAGTAATTCCCTCACAGATGGTGGTATGAGGGGCCTCACGTGGTGTAGTAACTCCTTCACGTATGGTGTTATGAGGGGCCTCACGTGGTGTAGTAATTCCCTCACAGATGGTGTTATATGAGTGAGGTGTGGTTCCAGGCCTTCCTATCGTAGACGGATTAACACATCGCTGGTAGTTGGGTCTCACGGGCCGTTATCACTGGGTACCTGGGACCTCACTGTGTGAAAGGTCAACTTGGGTACCACTGTGACTGTTGAGTTGTTCTCACTGACTTAAGCACTGTTCACCACTGTTCACCTCTGTTTAACACTGGTTCCATTTCTTTCCTAAATGAAATAGTAACTTCTGGCGTGAACTTGTTGATATTCCGGTGGGGAGGAGGGTTCAGGAGAGGGAGTTGGTATGGGCCAACATAACAGTTGACCTGGCTGCTCGGAGAGGAGCGCCAGGTACGTCTTGACCCTTCGGGGTGTGTGTGTGTGTGTGTGTGTGTATATATATATATATATATATATATATATATATATATATATATATATATATATATATATATATATATATATATATATATATATATATATATATATATATACTTCATTTTTAGTCCATATAACATGCGGACACGCGGTCGTTGATTATATGTTCAAAGTCCGCGTGTTATATGGACTAAAAATGAAGTATATATATGTACCTCGCGTTTCATACCAGCTGGATTCGGTAAAATGCTACTGACACCACATAAGAGGCACGGGCAGTTTCCCAATGAGGTTCACGGCGTCATCAGCTCGATGGACAGGCTTTGTGTGAAATATAACAGAGTCTAGAACTGCTTTTAGTGTCCTTGTGGCCTAGCCGGTAAGCGTTCCCTAGTCCCACCCAGTAGGTCGAGGGTTCGATTCCTTGCTGGTGAGGTCGTTGATTTTATATATATATATATATATATATATATATATATATATATATATATATATATATATATATATATATATATATATATATATATATATATATATATATATATATATATATATATATATATATATATATATATATATATATCTTATCCACGTTTTCATTGTGGATTTACATAGAAATATATATATATATATATATATATATATATATACAGTTAACCCTCACTTTACGCGGTGCCCTGCCGGAACCCAGGATGCTCACATTCCGCGGTGCGTGTACCCCTTTACGCGGAGAGCGGCTGGCGAGCCGCGCCATTTTTGGATCCAAACCTCCCGCCATCCGCCATGTTGTGTAAGCTGCGCGAACATGGTGCGCACAAGGTCGCCCAGTTATCAAAACATTACCGAGTTCTTCACCCGCCACCCACCACAGCCGGCCCAAGTCAGTGATAGTGATAATTATGGTGAGGATATGGACTTATATGGACTTTGAGGGGTTTGACAAAGAGGCCCTGCAAGCCTCTGTGGTGGTTAGTGATACAATTGATACAAGTGACACAGGTGAGGGCCAATAATCTGCCCTCTGCCTCGGAACCAACCGCCCATCCCCGTGTGCCCAGCCATTTTTTCTACTAATGTAAGTGTTAAAAAACCTAATATTTTTGATATTTCTCTTAATTATTAATTGTGTGTGCATACCATCATAAAGTTAAGATAATATTTTTACTACAACATAGTTGTGTGTCGTCAAAAAGTGGAGTTTGGGGATCGGCCCGGACTCCATTTCAATTAATCCCATATGTTATGTTATTCACTTTACGCGGGACCCTCCGGGTCACATTAACCTCGTAAAGTGAGGGTTAACTGTATATATATATATATATATATATATATATATATATATATATATATATATATATATATATATATATATATATATATATATATATATATATATATATATATATATATATCACGGCCTATAAGACGAAATTTGAACATTAAAAAAATCTGCCCAAAGTTAGGGGGTCGTCTAAACCACCAAGTTTAAAATTCTTACCTCTTAAATATTGTGGTTTAGTGTGTCAAGAGTGGTGATGAAAACATCGTAAGCCACTCACAAGGTCTTACCACTAATTATTTTATACTGAAACTTACGTTTGGCAAGCTGGATTCAAATTAAGATTACCGGTATATTAAAATAATAAAAATGTATTATAAACCTGTCTAACATACCGTAAAAGAGATTTATACCCCTATAATAAACACAGCTATCATCACACACCCCTCCCCACGCCCCCCCCCCCATTTGCCAGTGAGGAGCCGTGGAGGTGGTCAGTAATGCATACCGGTATCGGTATATTTACTCATAATAATATTTATCTCCTATAAATAATTGATTTAAATTTTATTTTTTTCCAAAGAATATTCAGTAAATGAGTGCATTAATTCTTGAAACTATCGACGGTTAATTACAGACGCTCAAGTGACGTCACTAGTGTTTACACTACACCAGCTGGTAATATTTGATGCCATTACTTGAAGTGAATTGGCCTTATTTTAAGTAACTAACTATAAATAAATACAAAAATTAAAAAAAAAGATCAAAACTGAGAAATAATATACTGTATGTATGTTGTGTTGTCAAAGTAAGAGGAACAATTGTGTAAGTACGTAATATTTTTTCACTCAAATCCTAATGAAACACTACTGGAGAACATTCCTTTGTCGCAAAACAGTTTATAAATTAAAGAAAATAATTACAGTGTGTTTAATATATTACAGTATATTATAAATAAATAAATAAAACAAATAATTCGGTAAATCTATTTAAAGTAAATGGAAAATAAGCAAACATGTTATTTACCAAGACCCTTCCGTCTGGCTCAGGGTGAGATGGAGGGGAGATAACAAGCTATTTATAGCCCATCAGAAGTGACCAGTACCCTAATGCACCATAAATAATTCATTGAACATTCATTTTTTGTACATAGTATATTCAGTATATATATATATATATATATATATATATATATATATATATATATATATATATATATATATATATATATATATATATATATATATATATATTTGTGTAATAAATGTATGTAGTAAGTACATACTGGTAACCTTTTTCACTCAAATCCTAATGAAACACCACAATTAGAATACGGTGGTTGCTGTTGAACCACATGTTGTATAAATAGTCACACCACCGAGACGAGGGAACACTCCCACCACGCTTCAGTGACGTCACTAGTGTTTACACTACACCAGCGGGTATAATTTGATGACATTACTTGAAGTGAATTGGCCTTATTTTAAAAAATCAAGGATGGTTGGTAAAGGACTACTGAGTCAGTGGGTAAGTGTCACATTTGGGGTACTGGTCTTATACAGCAAATAGAGCTCAAAAGCTACTTTTTAAATGGAAATTTGGGGGGGGCGTCTTATGCACCCCGCCGCCTTATAGGCCGTGATATACGGTATACATATACATACATATACATATACATATACATACATATACATATACATACATATACATATACATATATATACATATACATATATATACATATACATATATATACATATATATATATATATATATATATATATATATATATATATATATATATATATATATATATATATATATATATATATATATATATATATATATATATATATAATCCGTTAGCCGGAACAATTGGTGCAGAGCACTTCTGGGAATGAGAGATTTCCTGGTAATGAGACGACTCTTTCAAAGCCGGAAAAATTCCCTCATTCCCGGAATTTTCCGGGTAACGGAAAAATTTTCTTGGAAGTTCCAGAAATTGCCCAATACGTCATCTCTCAAACCTGGAAAAAAGTCCCTCATCCCCAGAATTTTCCAGATATCGGGAAAATTTCTCGGAATTTTCTGGAAAATGTACCCCTCTAAAAATTGTTTCGAAAACCAAAATTTTCCGGAAAATTATGGCTTTGGGAACTTTTTTCCGAGAAAATTTAAATTCCAGCTATTGGAGAGTTCTGAGTTTGAGGGATTCAGTGTAACGGAGATATATTGGATTATTTTGGTCATTGGTTAATCATTGTCCTCAAGTATTACTCAAACATAATTCCATCATCATTAATGACGCTTGAAGTACGTCTAGCAACTATCACGTGCGTCAATCTCGCAGATTTAGATTTCTCTTTTTCTTGTGATTGGTTGATGAGTTTGTTAACTGAGCGACGATTGGCCAACTAGCTCTTGCAATGACATCTACCTTCGGACAAGAGAACTGAGTTTACAGGGTAAACACTAGAGTTACAGACTGCTTACGGACCCCTTAAGTAAATTTTGAGAATGAGAAATTTATGGGACTGCATCTCTGCTACTTTACGTAACAGATGAGGTGTTTAGAAAATGCTGCTCCAAGAATGGTAGCAAAGGAAACACAGGTCAGAGAGACAACATTACTCCAGACATTACCTCATGAAGGATTTGTATCAAAGGATAATGTCTTTCATGGCAAAATCTCAAGCATAAAAATGTATCTCTGACCCTTTGTTTTCTTTACTACCATATAATCATTTTTTCAAATGAATCCTATTTATACAGGGATGTATTGTAAACGTCAGGGATTACTGTGAGAGTGAGAGAGTAACATTAAACTTTATCTGTAGGAATGAGCCACACTGGAGGTCTGCTTTCCAGGCGTGGGATAAAGGCCACTTATGACGCTGAGCTGGTGAAGATGTTGAGAGAGGCTGGTAAGTCATACTGTACTGTATATGAAACTCAAGAGTCCAATACCAGTGGTTTTGACCCATGTTGCAAAGAAAGTTATATACAATATATTCACCATCAGGAAGTTGGGTTATACACCTGCCATTTAATTTGGAAAACTGTGTTTATAATTTCTTTATTTACACAGGAGGCATTCCACTGGCTGTGACAAATATTCCAGAGTTAAGTTTGTGGTGGGAAAGTTACAACCTTTTGTTTGGCCGTACCAACAACCCCTACAGTGCCAGTAGAACACCAGGTGGATCTTCAGGTGGGGAGGTAGGCAATTCTTTCATAGCTGCATACTGTAGTTGTCCCAAACAGATTAAAACATATGGTTCAGCAGATTTGTCAGTCCATCAAATTTGTGTATAAAGTTTTCAGGTTCAGTCAGTGCATTGATGTAATACTGTATATCAATAGAAATTTAACTCTTGTCATCCATTTGTGCTATTTTTCTTGCCGCTATTGGTTACCAACTATGCATTATGTACAGTAAGTTTTATTTTCTTATTGATTCACAAAAGAAAAAATATCCAAAGTAAATAAAGAGTGTGCTATGTTGAAACCCAAAAGAATACGGGGAGTTACTAAGTTAGGAATAGGTTACAATCCTGTTTTTAAGTCAGAACAGTGTTAATTCCATAGGTTAGGTTAGGATAAAACACAATCCTGAATGTACAAAACAACAGTAAATCCCTTACATAATAAATAATGTAAATACTGTAAATAAAGTGATGTGAAACAATATAACATAAAATAAAAATAAACGTTTAAATAAGGATTTTTGTGATGAATATATTGGGATCCCGTTTGAAATTACAGTAAACACTCGGAAGTCCGGACTCCGTGTGGCTGGATTTGGACCCTTTCCTGACAAGAAACAATTGTCCAACTCTTAAATATTTGTCTTTTTAAATTCCTGTTGCATGCAGTCTTTTGAAATTACTGCTAGTGAGCAATCCCTTGATCTCGTTTCTCTTCTTAGACCTGTGAGTGATCAATTTATTCCCCCACTCTTAGTATGGACTTGTCCATAATGCCACATTGTGATTGGTTAGCTCTAAGTTCAACACACATTCAGCAACAGAAAAATGGTAAGATTTTTAGTTAAACTACTGTGTTGAGGGCCCATTGTACTGTAAAGTACTTTAGTAAGTCCTCGATATATGCCAGGGATGCATTCCTGGAAACCCTCGCATAAATTGAAATCGTACACATCGAATACCTCGTTAAATGGGAAAGAATAGGATGTGTTCTATAGCCCAAAATGAAAATGTTCCAGACCCATTTTCAAGACAAATAAACCATAAAACAAATCAATACAATATTATTTTTAAAATAATAGATAAAGCAAGTGAACAGTACAGTTTACTAAACAATAAAAGCAGATACATCAACTTGGGTAGACAAGATGATGGAGATGGTGGTAGAAGTTTTGCATAGTGGGTGATGGTGTTGGACTGACATTTGCAGAGTCATCAGGGTTGGAATCCATATCAGGGAGTGGGACACCTCGCATAAGGCTGAATTTTGCTCACATTAATTGAATTCCTGGTAAGAATAGGGTCTTCGCATATGAGTAAATTTGCATATGCCGAACTCACATATATCGAGGACTTCCTTTATTATTGGGGTATAGTTGGAGTGTACATCCTTTGTTTAATAATTTTTTTACATTATGTTCAGTGTCTACAAGAGTAAAGTTGAACTTACAAACAAATGGACTTGAGAACCAGCTTCAAAAATGAACTCTTTCATAAGTAGAGGAGCATCTATATAGTACAGGTTGTACCTCTCTAGTCCGGCAACCTCGGGACCTGACCGGTGCCGGACCATGGAAATTTCCGGACCATGGAAATTCACCCTTTTCCTGGACAGATAGTGACTTGTGCCTACGTTAGCACCACTTTCACTGCTTCGTGGTCTCTTTGGAGAAGGGTTAAATGTCGTACAGTAGCTTCTCAAATTTCGCGAGTTTTTAATTCAAAGTTTTTTATTTGGAAAAAAAAAAAAAAACCTCACTACATAATTTAAAATTTTGACAGCGGAAACTCGAATTTTGATGGGTGTGAGCGGTCCGCCAACGTTTAGGAGTGCACAATCGTGTAAACAGCGTCATTTCTCTTATATACAAAAGATTCATTATTGTTTATTACTGAATGTCTTTTTTATTGAATAAATGTTTGTGTGCAAAATGAGCAATACAATTCATTAATAATACATAGAATATTAAAATTCACTAGGAATGAGACAGCATTGTTTTCGTTGATTACAAAACCAGTGACTGACTGGTTCTACAAATAAAACAAGAAAATAAGACCCTGGTTGTAGCTGTAGCAAAATTAATGTAAAAAATTAATATGGTTGTTTTAAGTAATGTTATTTAATGTTAATAAATAGAACAATACAAGTAGCAAACCATTAATGTTAAAGAAAAAAAGTGAGACTGCGAGTATGTAAGTGCGCACATGTAAAAACATATCGTCATTACTCTACATAAGAATATGAAAGCAACACTTATTTACTGTTCATATATATTGAAGGGTTAAATGTTGTACTCTGTATAGACAAGCAGAGAGAGAGAGAGAGAGCAGCCAAACTGCCGGATGTAAACAAACCTTAAATTCCCGCGGTTTTGTTGTTGTTGTTTTTTACAGGGATTAGCCCACCCGGGCACAGGTCACTGACTAACATTGTAACCTGAGGGGCGAAAATGTAATACTCCTGTAATAATTATAATAATTCAGATAAGTAAAAAAAAAAAAAAAGGCTGCCTATCTACAGTACCTATTGCCCAAACTAGAATCGTTCCGGACCACAGAATGCCGGACTAGAGAGGTACAACCTGTAATAACAAACAGGAGTTCCTCTACAATTTAGGACAAGTGGCAATATTGCTCTCTTATTCCTCATGAGGATAGGTCAATGAATGAGGTTATTAACATAATAATCTTTTAGTAATTGATGATAAACTTTATTCACTGTGCAACAGTTTATTTATTTATTTAATTTTTTTGAGGTGGCAAAGGTATATTGTATGTTGTAAAAATGAAATTTATAAAACTGGATGTCACAATCTCATGTCTGGACACTCCTGGTTTAGATACATAGTAATTTACACAATTTTATAATTAGTGTATAAATTTATTTTTTTATTTTCTATCTCATCCTTTAAATTTTTTTGCAGAGAACAAACTTATGAGTGGGCGGTTCATTGCCTGTAGTTCATGCTATTGTATTCGTTAAAAAATACTATTACAGGAGCAAATTCTTCTAAGACATAGATGTAAGGCCTGCCCAGAAGTGTTACCATTAACGGAATAGACCTCGGGTATCAAGCAGGCTTTTAGTATTTAATTAAGGGCATTTTTAGAGGAGATTTTTGTAAGTTTTCCTTTTTTCTCAGGCTGCTCTACTGTCCAGTTGTGGCACTCCAGTGAGTATTGGCACTGATCTTGGTGGCTCCATCAGGTTTCCCAGTTTCTGCTGTGGGGTTTTTGGCCATAAACCCAGTTGTGGTAAGTCATTTTTTTTATTGTATCTGACTTAATTATTGATGACGTGATTAACATGCAGGTTCTACTGGGTATTACTTTTAATATTTATGTTATTCTGAATGACTATGAATTATGTAGCGGACCTGTAAATTACCTTGTGGAGCCACACTCCTCTACAACTGCTAGGCTATGAATTAACCCTCCATTTCTGTAGAAAAAAAAATCCGATTTAATTTATTTACAGGTTAACCTGTTTTTTATTTTTTATTTATTTATTTTTTTTAAGTTGTATTGACAAAATTTTAGGAATTAAACTCACTTGTTTATCATAAGTTTGTATAAGAAATTTGTAATATTACTGTATATAACAAAATTTAATTTTCCTTGCTTGACTTCCACCTGCACATGAACATTCATTCAAAGCATCCTTATAGGGCTATGCCTGAGGTGGTGAGCTGCCGCCCAAGACAACACGTTTCAACATGTTAGACATTGGGTAAACTTGACAACAGCAGTGTGCTGGTAATTAGGACAGTAGACCCCAGATAACTTGGATTTTGTTATAATTCGGCATGGCTATGTAGTCGGAATTTATTAAAGAATAACTTGGGGGGGGGGGGGACAGAGTTATATAGAATTGTCTTGACACTATTTAGCTGTGTGGATAATGGTGATGCCATGCTGCTCTCCACACTTGGTCAGTCTGATGCTTGTTATTGTTGTTGTCGGGTGTGTGCTGGCTCTCTCTCCACTCTTTATTCTCTGCTTGTCCTCTCCCTCTTCAAACATCACAATATGACATCTGTATCTCAAGGAGCTATAGAAAGGGCAGGAAGCTCAAAGAGTCTTCAGGAGAAGATTAAAGTGTTAGACCGAGTTGATGTTGGGGCATCCAAATGTGTGATGTGTGAGGAGTTTGGGATCAAGTCCGGCACATTTTACTACATAAAAAGAATCGGGACAAAATTTGGAAGCACAATTTAAGTTTAGAGAACTCTGAGCTCGGCAGCTCAAAAAAAGTGCAGAAAAGGGTTAAGCCTGCAAAGTTACTAACTTAGACCAAGTTGTGTACAAGTGGTACAGGCATGAATGTGCATCTGGCATCAACATACGAGGCGTAAACATTCAAAACACCGCAGTGTTTAAATGAAAATACTGGACAGCATTCTAGTGTTTTAAGTGAAAATTAAATTCTTTATTTTATATAAGTGGACAAATTACAGTACCTAGTAGTACAGTATACTGTACATGAGTGCCGCACTGTTTACTTAGTGTCCCCCTTCCATCATTTCTGCCACATGTGTCACCTACCATTCCCCTGCATCGCCTACTATGCCTCTGTGTCACATACCCTGGGGGGGGGGGGGTTCCTGGCAGTCTGGACACCCCTTTTCATCAGAAAATTCCAATACTTTTTCTTTAATACAGTATTGTACTCAGGCATTCTTGTATAGTAAAAAGTGATTACTATTGACCTCAGAATATCTCATAATATCAAGTGCACATGGCTTCAAAATGCCCATAATATTGGTGAGATTAAAAAAAAATCTTTGGGGGCTCACACATCCCCTGCCTCAAAACCTCCAACTGGGTGGGCTTGCTGTGCTCATCATGTTCCCCACCCATTTTTTTCCATTTTGATATTCCTGGATCTGCCCCTGATACCATGCCTCTTTCACATATTACAATGCTTCATTCTTCACCTGTAGTGCTGGTAAGTGTTACATTTGAAAATTAGTAATTGCATGTACACATATATAGGATGATAGTGTTTTATTATTGTGGGGGTGCTATAAGTTGGAATTTGGGATACTTTGGCAAGGCCCCATATGTGCCAAGTTATCAAGGGTTTTCTGTATGCATCTCACTGTTCAAAAAGTAATTTGGCATTGCCAAAAATGTCACGATTAATGCAAAGTTCAAATTAGATAGGTTTACATATATAAAATAAAAAATTTTGTTAGGAGGCTAAGATCTCAAGCAAATAATTCTAAATTGTTATTCATAGATTGGGTGTCTAAGAAGAATATGCACATCTATCCAGAAAAACTGTTGAATAGTAGAGCATCAGTGGCTGGACCCCTGGCCCGCCACTCTAGGGACCTGGCATTTATCATGGAGATCATTGCTCCAGTACATGCCAGGGGATTAAGTGCCAAGGTGGAGGCCACTTCCCTTAGTTCGCTCAAGATCTGGTGAGTACTTTACTGTATCATCCTCACCTCTTATCAGCTTATCAAGCAGTCAGTCAATTCTCTGTTGGCAAGTACTGGGCATATACAGGCTCTTGAATGTATTGTTTTGTACTGACTTTTTTATATATATACAGTATATACTGTATACTGTTCTTGAGACCTCCAGTAGGGTGGTCATCCACTAGCTTCAGATACTGTATATGTGAACTAAGTATAAGTTGAGTTTTTTAATAAAATTTTTATGGCTATTCGCACGGAATCTGGTATAATTCGTACATTATACAAATTGTCCCTCTGAAGCGTTTACCATTTTCTGTGTTGCAACACAACAGAAAACTTAGATACTATCCAAGTGACTATCTTGAGAGATATTATTTTGGTTGATGTGCAAAAACCAGTACTAAAGTCTGCAGTACACACATAAACAGCCTATATGTTTATTTAATGTTATTATACTTGTGATGCAGTCTGTGTATATTTGGGATAAGTTTTAAACATGTGCACATTTTTGTTGTTTGTGGATGGTTTTATCTGTATCATTGTGTTTCACATATCCTCATCTTAATGAATTCATATAAACTTTTACTGTATCAAGCTCATAATGCAGTATACTAGTAATAATGTACTGACCATTGTCGTACATGTTACCGGTAGTTAACGTAAAATCAGACGATTCATAATGCGCTCAGTAACCCATAAAACATGTAGCTATAACTTCTTTATTGAGTCCCCCAGTTGAGACGTTCGTTTTCTCACCGCTTTAGTACGCCTGAGTCCTCCGTTTTCTTTCATGTACCTCAGAGACTCGGATATTTCTTAATACCTCATATCATGTTCAGAGATTTGAAATTGAGAGAGAACCCACACGTTGTACATTAAGTTAGTTATGTCTGATTACAGATGAAACATTCAAGATCCCTTGTGAGTGATATTGAAAGCTTCAACTGTCATATAAGTTAGGGTAGAGTCTGCCAGTAGAAGTGATGAATCCCTAACATCATCCTTGGGGATGCCCTGAGTTTCCCAACCATCAGAGAATCTGATGTTCGTATTGAAATTATTGTCTGTTTTATATTATAGAAATTAATTAAGATCCTGAAAAGAATATGTCAGTCTTCTTATCTCCAAGATCTTACGGCAAATTCTTAGTAGGCCCTTGTCTGTATTTTGATGAGATCGTAAGAAAGACGTAATCAGTTTTTGTGTTTAACGTCCATTTCACTATTGCCTGGCAAGCTGAAACGCTGATCATATTGTAACAATAGATGTAAGAAATTGATCTGACCCATGACACTGATTTTCATAGCCAAATGTACAACAACTGATTTAAATGACATGTATGACAATGCGTGAATTGTCCGTTCGGCATGCCTGAGTTGCCTGTTAGTCTAGTATATAAACTCGTGCACGAGGGAGAGCGCCACTTTCTGACGCTCCCCCCATCGTATCTCAGGTATGTAACAAGTGCCTCACTCTCGCCATATTAAGTGAATTTAACTCAGTCGAATTTTGTGAATATCAGTGTTCATGTTTTAACATAGTGAAATTCTCGTGTGCCAAGTAAGAATTAATGTAACTTAAACATTGTATGTGTCGATGACCCTTACCATATGTATGACCGCTTGCAATTGCGTTAAGACTTTAAGATAACAGCAACTTTTGATGCCCCCCCCATTGTATCTCAGGCACACTGTGTGTTGTAGCCAAATACCCACAGCTACAGTAGCTGCCTACCAGCTAGATGTCTAAAGGAGAATGTCTTTAATTCAGCGAGATTAAAACCAAGGAGTAACTCGCTCTGGGAACCAAACCCGGAAGGATGAGCTACCTAGTCATGCGTCAGAGTCCAACTGACGCTAATAGTGCACTTTGTTTGTTGTAGTAAACACCAGTGAATGACCCTGGTGTACTAATCTCGGTTGTATGTACAAAGTAGTACTGTTGTACATGATTGGGGATAATTAGCGGAAATATAATTGTCCCAGGTTGAGTATGGAAATCATAAATATTGTTATTGCCAGTATTAAAGTTTGGGTAATTACATAAGACTAACCAGTGAGTGAAACTGGTTGAAAAAAATTATGAAAATGCCTTATTTTCACTGTTATATTATAGTGGATGCTGTTGTAGTTTGTGGAAATATGTTAGAAATAAGATATTTTAAAAATAAACGTTACTTAACGTTTGTGGGTATGAAAAACAGACCTAACCAACCTAACCAAACAAACCTACCTAACCTTACCTAACTTCCTTACCGGGGAGCGGATTCCTTGATATATTAAACAGAAAGAACTTACTATGATATGGTGAAATTTTAGGCATTTTCTGGACGTAAGATGATACAGCCGCATCGACGCTATGCACCCTGGGTGGCGGAGTGATTTGCTGTGTTGGTGGGTTCCACAATAAATGATTATCATATCAGAACTCACTGATGAAAATATTTTAAGAAAATAAACAGTAATAAAAATAACTCGCTCACTGGTTAGTTCTATATATTAACCAAATTTTGTTATATGTTTTGTGAGTAAACCATCAATGTGTGCTCCCAAATTGAGATGCTGGTACCTGTTTCTGTGTTGTTCATTCAGTACGATTATGGTGTTATAAGGAATGTATTAATATCTGTGCTAATAGCAAGAGTATGAAAGGAACATCTTTATTGCCAAAGAAATAATATAACAGTTGTTTAATGCTGTAACAAATAATTGAAGATTTATTTTGTTCCTCATAAAGTAAGACCTAGTGGTCTGTTTTTGTCTGGGTGTTACAGTAAAGTAATCAGTGATTGAACCTACTTTTGTTGTGGATAAAGGTTCAACTTGTCAAACTATTCACATTTGATTTTTAATAAATATTGAATTAGTCAATTGTGGGTATCACCGCTCCTTCCCTTCTTATAATTGTTCTCTCAGAAAATAAACACTGTAACCCACGTGCCTAAAAGCTCATCTACCACGCTATCTAACATTTTTAATGATATCAGTTATATTCTAATAAAAACCTGCGTGGTGGCAGTCTACCGTTACTTTTACTTTTATCCTCTTCACCACTGATCGGATCGTTAACCGCTTGGGCGATCGATCACATCTCTGTTACTCACTGTTGGCAAATACTGGGCATGCACCGGCTCCTGAATGTACCTGAACCCGCTCCAGTGTTGGTCAAATCTTGTCTTGAAAGAGCTCACACCCAGTGCTGTCACAACACTTTCTGGTAGATTGTTCCAAGAGTTCACAACTCTCACTCCAAAAAAGTTTGCCCTCACAGTTTTCTGGACTTATGGCTTCTTCAATCTTGAGCTGTGACCCCTTGTGTGGCGAGCGTCCGCCAGCTCCAAGTAAGGACACTCGACTGAGTAGTTCCCCTTGAGATGCTTATACACCTCAATTAGGTCACCCCTTGCCCGTCTGTAGTATAAGCTAGGCAAGTTCAGGCGCTCCAATCTCTCAGGGTAGTTGAGGTGCTGAAGTGCAGACACCAGTCTGGTGGCCCTCCTTTGAACATTTTCAACCAACTGACAATCCCTAGCATATCTCGGGGACCAGACGGGGTGACAATACTCCAGATGGGGAAGCACTTCACTCTTGAAGATCGTTATGAGGGACGGACCGTCTAGATATCTGAACTACCTTCTTATAAGACCCAATAATTTATTTGCCTGATTTACCTTCTTCTCTCATTGGCCCGAGAACTTCAGCTCATTGTCAACATACACACCTAGGTCCTACTCACATTCAGTCTCAAATAGTGCAGTTTCTTCATCCCGTTGGGATATATGATACGCCTCCTTACCGTTGGTACGCCGCAGGTGCATCCTCTTACACTTCGTGACATTGAATCTCAGCAGCCATTTCTTCGACCATTCTTGGGGCCCACAGAGGTCCTTCTGCAGCTCTTCACAGTCCGTTTGGTTCTTGATTTCCCGAAATAACTTGGCGTCATCAGCAAACATTTGTATGGAGGAGTGTACAATGTCAGGCATGTCATTTATGAAACAACAGCGGACCCAATACACTGCCCTGTGATACCCCGCTTGTGACAGGTACGGATGATGATTTTATGCCATTAATCACCACACACTGCTTGCGGTCATGTAGAAAGTCTTCTATCCATGCTAGGACATTTCCCCGAATTCCGTACCCTTCCAGTTTGATTTTCAGCCTTTCGTGGGGTACACTGTCGAAAGCCTTGGCAAAATCTAGGTAAATATTGTCAATATTACCACCCCATTCCAGAATATGGGTCCAAATATACAATACCTTGAGCAATTGTGTTAAGCAGGAGCGCCCCAGCATAAAACCGTGTTGTTCCATAGTAGATGTTCCATTGCAGCATCTCTAATAATACTCTCGAGTACTTTACATATTATGCTGGTCAGGCTCACCGGTCTATAGTTGTTCGTGGAGTGACGATCACCCTTCTTAAAGATAGGACTCACAAAAGCTACTTTCTATTCACTGGGGACTTTTGTTCATCCAGACATTTACAAAACAGGGTCTTCAGGGGCTCAGCAAGCTCGTTGCATAACTCTCTTAGCACTCTAGTATGCACCATGTCAGGACCGGGACTCTTATGAACCTTTAGCTTTGACACTTTATTTCTAATACAGTACCCTCTTCTGTGAACACAATGTGGGTCAGTGCTGTGTCGAACCATCTGTCCTCAAACGCATCCTCTCTTGTGAACACCGAGGAAAAGAAACTGTTCAATGCCTCAGCTTTATCCTGGTCAGAATCTGCGTAACTACCATCTTCAAGCCTCAGGTCTGATACCCCTACTCGCATTTTTAATTTTGACTTTGCATAGCGGTAAAACGTCTTTGGGTTTGACTTGACCTCGCTTGCAACCAGCCTCTGGAACTCCTTTTCAGCCCTTCTACACTCTATCTTTGCTTGGTTTCTGGCTCTTGCATACATCCTCCTGTCCTGCTCATCGTTTGACCCAACTCACGTCTTGAATTTCTGGGTTTTCTTCTTAACTTTGTCGACCGCCATATGGTTCATGTCTAGGGATCCCCTCGTATTACTAGAGGCACTGGGTTTGGTCTTGGGTATATATTTATCGATCAAATGGGCCACTTTACTAGTTATGATATTCAGCGTAGTGTCTACGTTCTTGTGCCGTAATGAGTCAGGCCAGTTGATACCCTTCATCTCTTCCCTCATCCCTTTGTAATTTCCCTTTTAATATTTGCACCTTGGCCAGGCCTTATCCTGAACTAGGTAACATTTTAATCTGAATGACAACACTATATGGTGACTGGTGCCAACTGGGGCAAGATGTTCCAGTTTGGCCACCATACCCTCCTCGTTTGTTATGATGAGGTCTAGTGGCTTGGGTGTTTGCTCCCCTCTGTAATGTGTCGGGTCTCTAACATGTTGGAACAGAAAATTATCTCTCAGTTTTTACAAAAAGAGTAGCAGGGTTATTCAAGTCATTTGGGGTGAACTTGTTTTTCCAGTCGATGTCGCCATAGTTAAAGTCCCCCATGATAAGGAGGTTGCTGGGGTTGAGCATTGCCTCATTATCTATTAAGGCTCTTAAGTTTCTTTGATTTAGTGGGCCAGAGTTTGGAGATCTGTAGATACACCCGACGATAAGTAAGTCCTCTCCCTTTAATTTAAATTTTACACCACTTGGACTCTTCAAAAACATCCTCTCCCTGTACCCTCGCCTGGCTGGCTCTAAGGTCATGTAAGTATATTTAGACCAAGAGATGTTAAAGAATGATATGGTTTTCCCAGGCTAATCCATTGAATAGAATATAACTATGCACTGATAAATATTGAAAGAAATAAGAGGAAAATATAAGAAACAAATGACATTGAAAGAAATAAACAATAAATAGAAAAGTTAAATATAGAAGATAAAGAAATAAGCATACCGAAATAAAGTCCTAATATATTACTGTATATAATATACAGTGATCCCTCGGTTAACGAGCGCCTCGGTTAACGAGATTTCGGTTAACGATTTACCTTTCATAAGATTCTTAACTTCGGTTAACAAGCAATCCCCCGATTAACGAGTTTTTAATGAGCGACCCTCCACATGTTTTCGCTTGCATTTGGCGGTCCACCAGCTGTAGTATTAGTCCGTCAATACAGTAATTTGTTCTAGGGCTTAAATTCCTTACTATTTTAGTAAATATTAAGAAGTTTATACTATTCAATAATTTTAAAAGTTTATTATTAAAGTTTTTAGTCATTTTGACAATTATTGAACATAATTGAAGTACAGGAAACTAGTTTTATGCACGCCAAATAGCCTGTCAACACACCAAACAGGCGTCAGTCTCTGTGTCTTTTCAGTGGAGGTAACATCTTGCTTGAGACTCTCTTCAACTAAACGCTTTTTTCCGTGTTTCCAAGCAAATTATTGGTCATTTTGAAATTTATTTTACATATTGACAATATATAGTGCAGTGCAGTGTTGATTTAAAGAAAATAATCTTGAATTACACCAAGAGAACTAAAATTTTATGGGTGAAATGGCACCATGGGGTGACTTCTCTTCCACCACAATGCCTTCTTTTCTCCCTTCTCCTCCACCCCCATTCTAATTTCCATCATCATCATCCAGGAGCCTTCTACATACACACCTCAAAGTAAGTGTACTTTACTACCTTTTTTGTTGATTTTAGACAATTTTCAGTGAGCTGGAACCAGTTACCCAAAAACCCATTGACACAATGGTTTCGGTTAATGAGTTTTTCGGTTAACGAGCAACCTTCTGGAACGAATTGTGCTCGTTAACCGAGGGACCACTGTAATATAACTAAGGAAATTAAAGGTTATATGAAACAAAAAAAGAGGAACAGAAAAGACAGGAATCATAAACAAGAAAATAAGAAAGTGGTATGGAAGTTGTAATATATAATAACAAAAGAAATAAAAACAATAAAATATTCATACAGTTGTACCCCGCTTTACGCGGTTTCACTTAACGCGATTTCTCATATGCGGTGCCTCGCCACAACCGAACTTTCACTTAACACGGTTCATCTACCCATATACGTGCAGAGTGTCCGGCTCGAGACGCTATTTTTAGATTCACCCCACCCGCGACCCGCTGCTCCCGCCTGCCTCGCCTCGCCTCTCCCTCCTCCTCCCTCCCTCCCGCCTCCCTCCGCCTGGGCAAGCCGCGCTGTAAGGTTGCGCAGTGTGTGTCTTCTACTAACATAAGTGTTACACCTAACTTTTAGTTTTCCTAACCTAACCTTTATTTTTCCTAACTTAACCTTTATTTTTCCTAACCTAACCTCTTCTATATTACTTGTTTGTTCATACCATCATAAAGTTAAGATAAAATTTTTGCTACAACATAGTTGTGTGTCGTCAAAAAGTGGAGTTTGGGGGTCGGGCCAGTCTCTATTGGAATTAATCCCATATGTTCTGTTGTTCCATTTACGCGGATTTCACTTAACGCGGTACCCTGTGGGTTCAATTGACCGCGTAAATCGGGGTACAACTGTATATGTATATTAAAGAAAAATGGGGGATTTTGTCCTACTTTGCACTTGAATTAACTGATGGTGGTTTTTTCTCCCTGGAAAAGGTCCAATGGTAGCTCATGGGTAGGATCTCAACCATGACATTTTGGTGCTTAGAAAATCATGCGAATCAGAGTTTCACTGAATTAATCACTTAATGAACATGTGCCTTGATCCCCTCAAGTTGGGTCTTAAATCCAACCCTCACATTCTCCTACCACGATAATAAAGAAATCTACTAAGAGAGGTATGCCAGTTTACTGACTCTTTCCCTTGTTCATTAATGGGATATCCACATTAATTTCTTTTTTTTTTTTTTAATATTAAGTAGGCAATATGTTCATCATGTGTTCAATACCCTATAAACTGCTTGACTCTTTTCAGGTGGGCAGAAGACGTGGGATCCCCTCTCATTTCCCCTACAACATCTGAGCTCCGGAACATTCTCCATAAGGCTGTCCACCATCTCCACGCTACCTATAGTATACCCACAGCAAAGGTAAATGGAGTGCATAAGAGAATTGGCAGGAACTTATGCATCTGACTGTATGATTTTAGTGTAGAGGAAATGAAGCTTTAGGTATTATTGTAAGTAAGCATATACTGTACGAGGTGTGATCCAAAAGTTCCCGGACTGGCTTCATACGGCCTTCCACTGAGGGAAATGATGAAAATGTCCAGAAAAATGACCAGCTTGTCCATGAAGACCATAAGGTGACCATCCATGAGATTTTCAAGCTGTTGGACCTCTCATATGGAAATGTTAACCGGATTCCGATTGATGACCGGCAGTTGGCTGCTTCACCAGAACAATGCACCTGCGCACACTCTCTCCTCTCTGTGAATGATTTTCTGGTGAAGCACAGCATCCCGGTGGACCCCCACCCTTCCTACTCTCCAGATCAGGCCCCCTGTAAGTTCTGGCTGTTTCTGAAGCTCAAGTTGATCCTCTAGGGGAAGAAGTTCATGGACAGAATGAAGGTCCAGGAAAAATCGCAGAAGGTGCTCTTCAGCCTCACCAACGAGGACTTCCAGATCTACTTCCAGAAGTGGGAAGAGCGGATTCAGCGCTGCATTGAGGTCTCTGGAGAATATTTTGAGGGTGAGAGCTTTCTGCAGACTAGCTTACAACAGGGGTCACCGTAACACACTGTATAGTATTTGATGTGAAGATACCTTCTTAAAACATAATTTACTGCCTTTGAGTGTTACTGTCTATGATGACTCAGTTTAGCAACTTGAACACTCACTAAAAAGGCATTCGGCACCTTTGTCATATTGTATCATGCCGTAAGGGTGCCGAATAATTTTTTAGTGGGTGTTCACGTGGACAAATGATTAATGAATAAACCAGGGTATGTGCAGATGCATAATACTTCACACTACAATATTACAGTATAGTCTGGATTTACGCAGTCAATTGAATCCGTGGAGGTCCGCGTAAAACGAGAAACGCGTAAACGAAATAACAGAACATAGGGGATTAATTGAAATAGAGACTGGGCCGACCCCCAAACTACACTTTTTCAGACACAATACGTACGTTGTAGTAAAAATAACATCTTAATTTTATGATGGTATGCACACATAATTAATATTTAAGAGAAATACAGTCGCCGGTTAATGTCCATTCAAATAATGGACTCAACTCCTCCCCCCCCCCCTTCCCACGCTCGCTGGGTCCCTCCATCCCTCCCTCCCTCCCTACCTACCTACCCTACCCCCCACCTTCCCTCCCTACCAGAGAAATGTTTGGGGAAAAACAGTATATTTACATTTTTAGTAATAAATAATACCTCAGACTAAAGTTAGGATAATATAATTGACATTGCTGGATTCCTTGCAAGACAGGGAATATTTTGAATGTAAACATCATATATTTTGCACAAAAGAAAATTTTTTTTGCTCCTTTTCATAAAATTCTTAAATTACATCTAAAATTTGTATGTCTAATGTAAATTTTAGGATGTTTATATTTAAAATGATCCCCGTCTTGTAAGGATTCCAGCAATGTAAATTATATATTTTATGATCTAAAAACATATATATATATATAATATATATATATATATATATATATATATATATATATATATATATATATATATATATATATATATATATATATATATATATATATATATATATATATATATATATATATATCCAGTAAATAAACAAATTATACTTCACCCGCGTAAATGATGAAATTTACCGCATAATTAAAACATTTCATTCTGGCAAGGTGCCGCGTAAATGACCAAACGCATAAACAAAAACCGCTCAAACCCAGGCTATACTGTACTTATAAAGTGATGAGGAATACACTACAATAGTATTTATTAAGTGGTGATAAATACACAACTGTACTGAACTAATTTACAAAGTGTTGAAGACGGACATTGTGGTAAGCCAATTAGCTGTTTTCTCTTTGTAAACAAATGAGTATGAAATGACTCATGGTGTTCAGTGTGGCATTCTTTTTTCAAGAAAACTGATTCTTTTGGGATAATATTTTATCAACTTGGCACCAAATGATCCTAAATTATTTGAGAATTGTGGTGGAATTGCATAAAGAAGTATTAAAGGAATCTTGTGGGAGTGAGGGGGAGGGAGCCACCCTACCCTCCCTCCCCCCTGCCAGTTGCTCCCAGATAAACATTTATCTTCCACATAATATATACTCCCACACTTATTTGTTCTTATTTTTATCTTTATAGTACTGTACAGTATACAGTTTTCTCTTTGTTCATAAGACAAATTTTGTGGTTACTTACATATAACACTTTACAGTGAATAACAATTATCTTGATGAAAACAGTTGTTGACAACAAGACTGCTTTTCAACCCAATGAGTTCTGTTTCACATTTTGTTGTTGTTGTTGATGTTATATTCTTTTAATACCTTCTTATACACTTTAAGGCCTTAGTTGTTGAAGAGCAGTAATAACATAACAACAACTGATTTTCTCCAAACAGGTCAGATAAGCAGTGTTATCCTCCACCCCCATGCTCCCATATATTCGCTTTTTTTTTTAACTCACATTTTTCGGACTGGGGTCTGCCCCAATTAGTCCGATTTATCGAAGTGCTACTGTACAGTAATATCTGTTAGCCGGAAAATATCAAACCCGGAACTCTCCAATAGCTGGAATTGAAATTTGCTTGGATTTTTTCTTGAAAAGTCCCTAAATTTTAGATTTGGAAAGAAATTCCAAAGTTGAAAATCCTTAGCAATTTCTGAAAATTAGAAAAAAAAATATATATATAAAATAAAATAAAAAATTGGGAAAATCTGTCCAGATTTTTATTTCTGGGTCTGGGAGCAAATGTCGATTATGAAATAATGCGCAATTACCGTAAAATCTGAGAAAATGGCGAGAAGATCACTCAAAACTTTTCTGGGGACAAGGGTTCCCGGCATTATGAAAGGTTGCAGCATGTTTAGCTGCATTGTCACATGGTTGGTGCGTGGTTGGGAAGACCAACCACTTGGGTAATGATGGATTTTTTTGCTCGTGGTCTATTTATAATTACTGTGTAACTATAAATACTTCTTTAAATGTTCAGTAGCTAAAACAACTATCTGTGCATGCTTTGTGGGAAACAATATGAGACCATGGACGATAAATATTGGCATATGAGGGCTGCTCGGGCTGGAGGTTGGTAGCCCTGTATTAATGTGTATGCTATATATTGATTTATTGTGATATTTTCTGTCGTATTTGTTAATCTTACTTTTAATTTTATCCTCTTCACCACGGATCGGCTCGTTAGCCGTTTGGGCGATCTGTCGCGTCTGTTACTTTTCTATTTCTTTTATCCTCTTCACCAAATGATCGGCTCGTTAGCCGCTTGGGCGATTGGTCACATCTCTGTTACTCACTGTTGGCAAGTACTGGGCATGAATCATGTTCATGATATTGTAAATAGCCCAATGAAGTCACTCGCACTGATATATTTTAACTTCGCAGTTAAACAACAAAAAATATGTAACGTAAGTGTACTACTTTACAGAACCTGTGAAAGCTTGACCTTCCATTTCGGGAGTGGCCTATATTTTCCAACAATTGGTTACCACTCCCTCTAAACAGAATTGTTCTGTAACGGTATATTATCTCTCCTCATATTGATAAGCATCTGATATGGTGTCAGAAATGTGTGCTACAATTATGTCATTTTGCATGAATACCCAAATATAGGAAGTGAACACATAAATTGGTTATCTTTTTTATTTGGTTTGTATTTTTTGTAAGCACCTCCTGCCGCTATGACAGCATTAAACCTGCTAGGCATGGATGCCACCAGCGAGGATATTAGATCGCATCCCTCACGTCTTCTTAGATGCTCCCACGCGGGTCAGGTGACGTCCCGTATCCGGCATGTATTTTATCACGGTTGCCCAAACATGCTTGATGGGGTTGAGATCTGGGGATGTCAGAGTGCTGCATTGCAGGGTCAGGTCATCGCGTATGCTCGCAGCGGTTGTGAACGGGTCATCATCAATAGCAGCTGCTATGGCCTGGTTAAGTGACACACCACAAATAAATGTAGGCCCTACTAATAGATATTAGTCCTGGAAATTTTTTTTATTGTTTTATACCTTTGTTTACCACAAATGTATTTACCCTACATTACGGCACGATTACATATAAAACCAATCAACCTGGTCCTCCTCCGGGGTAGTGTTGCGTTGGCAGCCCTCTCCGTTGCCGATCAGTTGTAGCCCCAGTCTCACGTTATTCCCTGATCCATAGAGAGGCGGTATTCTGGTGGACACCGACCTGTTAGGCAATTTCAGAAATGCTGTAACCCTCATTGTAAAGGGGGACAATGGCTCCTGCCTTTCCTGTGAGGTTTCCATGACGAATGGCATGAGAAACATAAATCGTCACATGTTGGCTCTGATATGGTTCATAACTGGCAATGGAGCGTCTTGTGAACCAGGTTCATAATCAATGAACTCGGTCCCATGAGTCGATTATTAGATGGCAATAAAGCGTCAAAACGAATCATGCAATGCAACCATAGCCCATGTATGGTACATTACTGTACTACGAAAGCCATTTATCAGGAGCGGAAACAATTGTCTCCCTATACTGTGAGACAATAATCACATATATAACTGATAAATTATTCCCTTATGGCAACACACCTCCTGTGATGAGTACTGAATGATGGTGGGTGAGGACAGGCATACCAACCCCCCTGAGATGTCACTAGTCACATGTAAAATTTTGAAGCATATCGAGCCCCACCTGTACAGATAGCTGTTTTAGCTTCTGTACATGCAATACTAAAAAGGTAAAATAATACTATAATAAATCAATGTAAGTCCGAGCTGTGCTAATCAGAGAGAAGGACAGTCAACATCTCAACCAGGCTGTAACGTAACTTCTGGGCTGCTGCTTCCTTTGGATAACACCTCCGCGAGTCTGGCGTAGAAGCATCTTGCACTTGGTCCCATCTCACCAGAGGTTGTGAACACCAGAGGAATGAAGCTGCCTTGATCAGCATTCCGAATTATCTCCCCATATACCTTGATCTTGTCATTCTCGTTCCTCCTGTGTGCAGCATCGAGAGCTAGTTGGCGGTGACATGTGACCATGGGATAAAAAAATCTTTTTGTCAAAGAAGTCTCGCTGTCCCCGCGTCCAGAATCTTCGAGCACTGACGTCCACACAGGCTTCGTCGGATGTGTTTGAAGTCCTGTGACAGAGGTTCTCACCGTCCAATGGAAGGAAGGGTGGTTCCACCATGACGTCGTGGCAGATTTCCTTCAGTAAATTTGCTGTGAGATCCCTTACTTCGCCTTGCCTCATGCATACGAAGCCCCCTTTCTTGCACACCATGGCGTGGTCAATGTCATAAGATGAGCCACACACGCATTGGGAGGGCAAACCTTCTACTGGCCTACTGTACCTTAGAGCAATTTTATCTGTGAATTCTTGTTTATTAAGGATGAAGTCGTTTGCCCTTATCAGTAACGTTGTTAGCCAGTTTGAGGTGCCCACCTCCTGCGCTATGGCTACTTTTTTTTTTCAAGTTCTCCGACAATTGCTGCAAAAGTTGTTGCAGTTTATCACTTTGGGTGTGCTGCTGTTGTCATAATGGACCGTCGAATCTTGTTTAGTTCACTTGACTGAGTTCTGATGTTCTGTAGCAACAAGCTCTACTGGATTAGTCAGTCCCATACCTCCCAGTCTTGGTGGTAGTGCAAGGAGTGACCTTTCTGCTGAGTAAATCATTCACTGCGCACATCAATGTGGAGTTCTGCAATTCAGTCAAGTCCATCAAGTATGTTTGCAAATACGTCAACAAAGGCTCTGACCAAGCGATCTTTGTATTGGAAAAGGATGGGAATCATGATGCGGTGACACAGTTTCAGCAGGGCCTTTATATATGCAGCAATGAAGCCCTATGGAGAATTTTTAGTTTTCCCATACACGAACGATGTCCAACAGTAGTTCGTCTGGCTGTTCACCTGGAAAATGGACAAAGAGTATACTTCACAGAAGAGTCTCTCCAAAATCAAATGGCAAATCCTGCTGATACGACTCACTGCATTCTTTAAGCTTTCACAGGAAGAGGAGTTTGCTCAAATACTCCTGTATGTTGACGAACCCAAGTTCTACATATGCAGGCTTCAATGAAAAAGTTCCAGAGAAGAGCTCAAGGATCTGATGTTGAAGGATATCCAGGGATAAAGTCAGGCAATGCTTTGGGACGTGTCTACACGGTTCACCCCAACAACTTTGAATGCTATTGTTTGAGACTACTTTTGCACCATACTGTGGCCCAACATCATATGCAGCACTCAAGACAGTGAATGGACAAGTCTGCAGAACCTATCAGGAAGCGTGCAATCTCCTTGGCCTACTGGAAGATGATGGTCACTGGAATGACACATTAGAAGAGGCAGCAGCTACTCAATCGCCAATGAGAATGAGGAACCTGTTTGCCATCATGATTGCTACTTGTGGACTTTCCAACCCAAGCCAGCTCTGGAAAAATCACCAAGAAAGTCTTTCAGAGGATCTGCTTCATCAAGCAAGAAGAGAACATCCTGGTCAAGAGATTGAGTTCATGGATAACATGTTCAACAGGGCTCTGATCATGCTGGAAGACAAAGTGATGGAGCTATGCAGAAAAAACCTGACTGATTTTGGATTGCCTTCCCTAAACCGAGAAGAACCAGTAGTTGCAAACAGAGAGTTGCTCAGAGAGACCGACTACTCAGTTGAGCCCCACCTGGTGCCTAATCAAGCAAATGCTTATGAATAGATCTTGCAAGCGACACAAGCGGAGCAGGGAGGTACGATCTTTCTTGATGCACCTGGCGGGACAGGAAACACATTCCTGATCAACCTTTTGTTGGCCAAAGTACGTCATCAGGGGAAAATTGCTGTGGCATCCTCAGGCATTGCTGCAACACTACTAGAAGGAGGACATACTGCACACTCAACTTTTAAACTGTCTCTCAACCTCGCTCACAATGAGAATCCAGTGTGCAACATCAAAAAAGGATCGGCAAAGGCAAAACTCTTAGAAAAATGCAGCCTCATAGTCTGGGATGAATGCACTATGTCTCACAAGTTAGCGTTTGAAGCATTGGACAATACCTTGCAAGACATATGAGAAAATGACCAGCTCATGGGTGGCATTACAATGGTCATTGCTGGAGACTTTTGCCAGACCCGACCTGTCTTTCCTCGAAGCACTGCAGCTGATGAACTGAATGCGTGCCTCAAGGCATCATACCTTTGGAGAAGTGTTCAGACACTTACCCTATCCACAAACATGAGAGTACAGCTACAAGGAGATCAGGATGCTGGATGGTTTGCAAACCTACTACAGATTGGGAATGGAACTTTCCCTGTTGATTCAGAAGGACAAATAATCATTCCTCAAGGATGTGGAAATGTTGTAAAGTCCTCAACTGAGCTCACTACCATGGTCTACCCAAACATTATCCACCACTACAAGGATCACAAGTGGCTGCGTGAACGTGCAATTCTGGCACCAAAGAATGAAACAGTGGCTGAAATTAACATGACTCTACTCAGACAGCTTCCAGGCAGTGAGACCTCATTCAAATCTGTTGATACAGTAATTGACCAGGACCAAGCAGTCCAGTACCCTGCAGAATTCCTTAATTCTTTGGATCCCGCTGGAATGCCTCCTCACCACCTCACTCTCAAGATTGGAACTCCTATAATGCTCTTTAGAAATCTTGAACCACCAATCCTCTGCAATGGCACAAGACTGGTGGTGAAGAACTTGATGCCACATTTACTGGAAGTTACAATACTGACAGGAAAAGCTAAAGGAGAGGTCGTTTTTATACCAATGATACCTCTCATCACCACTGACCTGCCATTTGAGTTCAAGCGACTTCAGTTCCCGGTTAAAGTGAACTTTGCCATGACCATCTACAAAAGCCAGGGACAGTCCCTAAAGATGGTTGCCCTAAACCTGGTGTTTCCTTGCTTCTCTCATGGACAGTTCTATGTTGGATGCTCCAGAGTGGGAACTGGCAAAAATCTGTACATACTTGCTGCTAATGGCAAAACCAAAAATGTGGTCTACCCTAATGCACTACAGTGAGACAATGTGGAGCCTCCCGGAGGGTGGCGCCCTACCGTGACCTAGCGAAAGAGAAGGCGGCTATTCTGCTAGTAATATAATAAAACAAAACACTAAACCAGCAACACATCACAACAGCAGTCATCGCCCTTACTCTGGATGTGTTGCTCCGTTCATTCCTGTGTTGGAGGGTGTGTGTGTGATGTTGGGATGTGTGGGTGGTATTGGAGGGTGTGTGTGTGTGTAATGTTTGGGTGTGTGTGGGTGGTGGTGGAGAGGGTGTGTGGGTGGTGTTGGAGGGTGTGTGTGTGATGGTGGAGGTGTGTGTGTGATGGTGGAGGGTGTGGTGGTGTTGGAGGGTGTGTGTGTGTGAGATGGTGTGTGTGTGAGGGAGGGTGTGTGTGTGTGAGATGGTGGAGGGTGTGTGTGTGTGGGTGTGGTGGAGGTGTGTGTGGGTGGTGTTGGAGGGTGTGTGTGGGTGGTGTTGGAGGGTGTGTGTGGGTGGTGTTGGAGGGTGTGTGTGGGTGGTGTTGGAGGGTGTGTGTGTGGGTGGTGTTGGAGGGTGTGTGTGGGTGGTGTTGGAGGGTGTGTGTGGGTGGTGTTGGAGGGTGTGTGTGGGTGGTGTTGGAGGGTGTGTGTGGGTGGTGTTGGAGGTGTGTGTGTGTGTGTGTGTGTGGTGTTGGAGGGTGTTGTGTGTGTGTGTAATGTGTGGGTGGTGTTAGGGTTGTCAGAGGGGGCTTATGAATGGCTGCTTAATGTGTAGTGGTCTTCCCCCCCCTCCCCCATTTAAAGTCCGGATGATGGGCCCTCTTTTCAACGCGTAGTCCTACAATGTGAATTCACTTATACTGTACACGCAAAAATAAATGCAATTAATGTACGTATTTGTTGAATGGGCAACATTCAAATTTAGGTTGTTTGTTAATGCAGCGGGGCTCCCTCTCGCATCTCCCTTAGCTTCAGTCTCGTGTAAGCTTGTAGTCGGGTGAAGAGCTGTGCTGTTCATGTTGATATACTTTTTGCTCATTTTACAGTTTTGGGGGAAACAAACCCTTAAACAGTATTGCTCCTAAATGTACATTATTGTATTTCCAAGTGATGGTGGAGTAAAGAAAAATCCATAAAGTGATGATATTAGAAGAGAAAATATATTTTTTTTTTTTTTTTGATAAATTACAAGGTAGCCCACCTGCCTCATATGTTGTTAACTTGTAATGAAACCACAAAAGTTGTGGAAAAATCATTAGCCGATCCTGTGACGAAGTTTCTCTGATAAGCCTAGCCATCTAGACTCGCTGGGGGTCGACACGTGATGCTAACTTCCGGTGGATGTGTATATAAGCTCCCAGCCTCGCCGTGAAGTCCATTCTACCTTGAGCCCTGCAACACACAACACCTCCTCTAAAAAAGCTCCGGCACAGTAACTCCTCTACCACGCAGCAACTTCCCAGCACCAGATTGTTTTGTATATAATATAATTATATAAGAAAACCACCATTAAGAGTTTCCCTTCCCCAACCAATCCTGAGTGCGAGACATCAAAACGTTAACACTACAATACTCTAATGTGGCTTAGAAATAAAGAAAATATAATATAAGAAAATTGAAGAGTATGTGTGAGAAGTGATTGTGTGTAGTGGTGGTTATAGCCAAGACCTTAGCTTATAATTATGTGGCTGACTCACGTGATGATCATATGTCAACTCATAAACCACGTGGATTTATATAAATATATATAAAAAACTCAAGTGTACAAATCTAACTCATTGCATAGATTAATCAGTTATCACTTTTCTAGTGGCCCGGAGACATGAGCAATGCCATTATTCCTTGGCGCACCAAGTTGAATGAGGAGTCTCGTGGACATCCACCTGTGAAGTTTGATATGACCAACAGACAGGTACTGGCACCTTGCTTTCCATAAATTTATGATTTATGAGTGATTGGTATATATTTACTGCTTCCAGATGATACTACCATGCAGAGCAATTATAAAGCGTTACAATTATCAGTGAATGAGTTGGAAAGAGTGTACAGTATATAGGCAGATATAGGCATCCCATATATAGTCTAGCTTTAAGAGAATGAAATGCAATAGTGAAGTTAACTTATAAGGGAAATAGAGTTAAGGTTCAGTTACCTCAAAAATTTTCAATTCCACCCACAGTATGAGTGTGATTTTAAAAACATGTAGGCTACTTATAAAGGTGTTAAACATATAAAGCTTTCATATTAACCGGCAAATCCGGGGGTCCTCTAGATCAGACCCCCCCTTCCTCCTTTTCATCAGAAAATTCCAATACTTTTTCCTTTGTGCAGTATTGTACTCTGGCATTTTTTTTATAGTAAAAAGTATTTATTATTGACCTCAGAATATCTCTTAATATCAGTGCACATGGCTTCCAAATGGCCTCTAAATGCCCATGATATTGGTCAGATTTAAAACAAATCCTGCCCCCCCACACCCCCCCCCTCGAAAAAAAAAAAAAAAAAAAAAAAAAACACCAGCATGGTTGGCTCGCTGTGCTTGCCATGTTACCTCAACCACAAGTCCTTGGAAACTACAAAATTTAGCTCACAAATACCTTGAACATAGTGGTGGTTTTGCAGTGAACACGCCTACAAGAACATGGACATGACCAAGCTAAATGTCCATTGGCTGACCGAACGTAAGGCGTGGATGTTCTCTACTCTGTCCCTCTCCTGGTTTGATGACTGTTTCGTTCCCGATGTGAAGAAATTCTGTGAGCAACAGAATGTTCCATTCAAGATTTTGTTGCTGCTTGACAACGCACCAGGACACTCGCCCCTACTGTTGGATCATCACCCCAACGTAAAAGTGGTCTTCCTTCCTCCCAACACCTCATCATTAATACAGCCCATGGACCAAGAATTAATCTGCAGTGTGAAAGCTGCATTCTCTGCAAAGAAGTTTAAGCTCCTGAACGACTGCACCAACACCAAGGATGAGTTGCGTAACCTGGGTGACACCGATAGCAAGAGCGAAGAGGACGAGGAACAACAGTTGGCAGAGCAAGAAGTTCTTGTGAAACACTTTTGGAGGAAATTCAATGTCAAGAAAGCTGTGGACTTCTTGGTGGAGGCATGGGATCAGCTGTCTGCAGCAACTGTTCGTCATGCATGGAGACATGTGTTGCAAGGTATCCCAGGTGGGAGGCAGAGTCAATCTGTGACTGGTGAGGTTCAGACTGTTGCAGTAGCAGTGGAACTAACCTGAGAAGCTGCGCAGAGTGTTACAGCTGCAGGCTTCTCCGAGACCACCAATGACGACATTATGGTGGTGATAAGGGATCCTCATGTGACTGCCGACGAGATGTTACAAGACGATGACGTCAGTGAAGAGACAGGCGGTGCGTCATCCCGAGAAGAACGCAAGTTATCGCATGGTAATGTAAGGGGTGCCATCTAGTGTGTTGAGAAACTCAAGCTCCTCCTTTCCGACGACCCTGACGATAACCAGTATGAAGTCTTCACTACCCAGTTGTTGCAGATTATGGAGCCCTACATCAAGGTGTATCACGACAACATCAACACTAGCCATCAACAAAGCATTACCGAGTTCTTTGCCCGCAACCCACCACAGCCAGCCCAACCCAGTGATAGTGACAGAGACAGAGACAGTGATGGTGACTTTGAGGGATTTGTCAGGGAGGCCCTGATAAGTGTGGACAGTGATGGTGACTCACCTGAGGGCCAGTAGCCTGCCCTCTTTTTTTTTTTTATGGGATTAGCCCACCCAGGCACAGGTCACTGACCCACATCAAGGCCTGGGGGACAAAAATATAATAGTAATAATTAATTTAATAAAAATAAATAAAAATTATAAAAAATAAAAATATAATAATAATAACAATAATAATAACCATAAATAAATACAAAAATGAAAAAAATAAATCAAGTGTGAGAAACGATATACAGCATGTATGTTGTGTTGTCAAAGTAAGAGAAACAATTGAGACCCTGCAATTGTGTGTAAATGAGGTAGAAAGTCAGATCAGCAACCTGGGACTTGGTCACAATTTTAATGATGCCATATAGCAGCAGGGTCTACCATTAGACAACACATTATGTTCCTCATCACATTGTCATTAAACACACTGATGGCCTTTTCCACAGAACCAATATCAGGATGATAATCCTCAGCAAGTTTGGACAGTTTGCTCCAGCAAAAGAACGCATCCTTGAGATCTTTGGCTGGAATGATGCGGCTTTCCTCCTTGTCCTCCTCCCCTGACTCCTCAGAAGTTAAGCTCCGCTTCAGTGTCTCGTTTTGTTCTTTGTGAAGCTCAAGCAGCTCCTCAGTGGACAGTTCCTTACTGTGCTCTTCCACCAACTCCTCAACATCATCATCATCCACTTCCAGGCCCATGGAATTGCCCAGAGACACAATTTCATGTACAACAGCCTCTACTTCTAACTCTTCGAAGCCTTCAAAGTCTCTTTGAAGCACACATTCAGGCCACAATGGGCTCCAAGCAGCACAAAGACACCTCACAGTAACCTCTTTCCAGGCTGAGGTAATTTAATAAGCAGCATCTGCTATATTGAAGTGACTCTTCCAGAATTCCTTCAAACTAACATCACTGGAAGAAGTGGATGCAAAACATTTTCTAAACAGTGCCTTTGTGTACAGCTTCTTAAAGTTAGAAATTACCTATTGATCCATGGGCTGGATGAGAGGTGTTGTGTTGGGTGGCAAGAAGTGCACAGTGATGAAGTTGAACTCCTCTGGCAATTCAACCATCAAATTAGGAGGGTGGGCTGGTGCATTGTCCATCACCAACAAAGCTTTCAGTGGAAGACTATTCTCCCTGAGGTATTCCCGAACACTGGGTCCAAAGACTTCAATCACCCACTCAGAGAATAAATTCCTGGTCACCCAAGCCTTTAGGTTTGACCGCCACATAACACCAAGGCGGGTCTTCCTAATTTTTTTGAAAGCTCTGGGGTTTTCTGCGTGGTACACAAGGAGTGGCTTTATTTTGCAGTCACCAGAAGCATTAGCACAAAGAAGGAGGGTAAGCCTGTCTTTCATTGGCTTATGGCCAGGGACAAGTTTCCTCCTTGGTAATGTATGTACGGCAAGGCATTTTTTCCCCAAAAAGTCCAGTTTCATCACAGTTGAATACCTGCTGAGAAACAAAGCCTCCCTCTTTAATAACATTAAAAAAAATGTCATGGTGTTCCTTAGCTGCTTCCTTATCTGCTCTAGCAGCATCACCATGTCTCACAACACTATGTATTTTATTTCTCCTTCTGAAACCAGTAAACCACCCCTTGGTACCCTTAAACACTGGCACATCACTATCACTTGCACTGGGAGTCTTGGCTTTAAGGTCCTCAAACAATTGTCTGGCCTTCTCACAAATTATAGCTTCACTAATGCTATTACCTGCCATTTCTTTCTCCTTTATCCACACTAAGAGTAAATTTTCCGTCTCCTCAATCACATTACACCTTGCTTTGCTAAGTCTAGAGATTCCCTTAGCCACTTGCACAGTTTTCAACTCCTCTTTATTCTTCAAAATCGTACATATAGTAGTCGATTTAGCCATCCCATACTCATCACTAAGTTTCGCAATGCTTGTTCCATTCTCACGTTTTTTTATGATTTCTTTCTTAGTTTCAAGAGTTATGAGCTTTCTCACTCGGTTTGGATGATTCATTGTTACAATTGTACACTTGTATGACAAAATATTTATACAAATAACAGTGGTGCACTGGCTACACAATGAGACAAAGATGGCACCTGACGCTCTTGTTGTGGGTCGCGCTACAACAATATTCATGCGCCAGACGAAGTAGTCCCGTATTCCTCCGCGTTCTTTGTAGGAGTTGCGTTCGTTATAGCATTCTCAATTTTATAGGTAAAATCGTTCGTTATAGGAATATTTGTAGTAGGATCCGTTCGTTATAGCATACCCCACTGTACCTCCCTGATTGGTAGCTGCCTACTACCTACTATCTTCCAGGCATAACTTTTCTTTTATGGACACCTTAATTGTTGTTCCTTAAGCCATACTCCTGCAAAACTTAGCTGTTGTCACATTTCCTCTCAAGGCATAATTTTTCATTTATACCTTTTCAGTATGAAGCCAACCTGCTGAAGGAATGGTTACTATGGGCATGTGGGCAAAGACGCCACACATTCCCCATACTCCTTTTTGCAACATTTCAAAAGTTTACTCCAGAGAATCCAAGCGATGTCACATCACCGTATTACTGGAAGACTGTGCAGAAGTCCTTCATGGTTAGTACATTTCCTTGAAGAGTAATTGTAAAGAAAAGGGAGGAGAGACATTATGGTAGGAGAGGAGTTGTGGGGGGAGAGGAGATGAATTCTGGAGAGATAGCAGGATAGAAAAGAGGGGGGAGAGGAAGAAAGGGATTATGCTCAAGAGGGAGGAGATGAAGTATTGGGAGGTGAGAAAGGAAGAGAAGGATTTGAAGAAAAGTTGAAATGAGAACCAGGAAAGGAACAGGGTAAAGAGAAGGGGGAGAGGAGGATATACTTGCAAGTAAATGATGATGATGAACAGGAAGTGAGTATGAGTCAGATGGAGTGGTGATGATGGTATTATGAGTCAGATGGAGTGATGATGATGATGATGATGATGATGTTATTATTAGTCAAATGAAGTGATGATGATGATGATGATGATGTTATTATGAGTCAAATGTAGTGATGATGATGGTATTATGAGCCAGATGTAGTGATGATGATGGTATTATGAGCCAGATGGAGTGGTGATGATGATGTTATTATGAGTCAGGTGGAGTGGTGATGATGATGATGATGATGTTATTATGAGTCAGGTGGAGTGGTGATGATGATGATGGTATTATGAGTCAGATGGAGTGATGATGATGATGATGATGGTATTATGAGTCAGATGGAGTGGTGATGATGATGGTATTATGAGTCAGATGGAGTGGTGATGATGATGTTATTATGAGTCAGATGGAGTGGTGATGATGATAATGATGTTATTATGAGTCATGTGGAGTGGTGGTGATGATGATGTTATTATGAGTCAGATGTAGTGATGATGATGTTAAGTAATATTTCCGATAGTTGGAATTGAAATTTTCAGAGGGGCATATTTTCCGGAAAATTCAGAGAAAATTTTCCCGATACTCAGAAAATTCCGGGGATGGGGGGAGTTTTTTCCGGTTTTGAGAGAGTCGTCTCGTTACCTGGAAGTGCTCTGCACCAATTGTTCCGGCTAGCAGAGATATCACTTTATGAGTCGGATGGAGTGATGATGATGTTAGGATGAGTCAGATGGAATGATGAGAAGGTGAGTGTGAAGGAGTTGTGAGTATGAGGGAATACATATAGGTGTGCGTGCATTGGGAGGATGGGAGAGTTTTTTTGTTTAGTAAGAAGTGAATGTGAATCGAATGATCCGGGCAGATTATCTTGGAATATTCTGAGCAGACATTGAAGTGAATGAAGGATTACATAGGAACGTACATAGTTCTTTGAATGAGGTGTATCATTCATCAAAGGACCTTACCTGCAATTTTTGCCCGTCATTAGATAAGATCATTAATCTTTGAATACAAGTTAACCGTTACTTAGTTGTTTCACTTGCTCTGTTAGGGTCACACTAGTAACCATTTCTAGTGAAATGGCTCAGCACTGTCACAAGTGCCACAGAACAATGAAGAGAAGATAGTGATGACAGATTTAGTGTGACCCTTTGAAGATTACCTCATCTCATGCAATAAGTACTGAATAAATCCTATGTAAACCTCAAGCTCTGCTGCAAAGAAACCCTCCAAAACTCTTCTTCAATCTTAATGTTGTGAGCATTGTTATAATATGAGGTCTGACAATTAAGTTTGCTAACTTAATTGTCAGACTATGTATGTTTAGCCATAAGAAGTTTATAAACAGTGTTTCCTGTACTGGACATTCCTACCATCCTACATCTTCATAGACTTATGTTTCCTATACAGTACAATACAGGGTATTCCTACCCACTTGTATCTCCATAGGCTTAGATTTCCAGGGTTATGTCCAACTTTCTCTCTCATATTTTACATAACAGTGCAGAAAGAATTTTATTTTGTGCACCAATATGAAGACAATGTGCAGATTTACACCACCAGTAGCAACAAAAAGGCAGAGTACAGTACTTTTATTTGCCTTGCAGGAATGCAGCCTAGAGGGAACATGGACCATATCTGAAATTTCCTTCTTCATGTTTATTTGCTTATACTATACAAAACAAATAAGAAAATTTGGTTGTAGTAATTCAGTTGGCTTTATTTTAAGCTACCATTACCAGAGCTTTTATCCATTTTAATACTGTGAATACTGTTTCTTATACAAACCAGAGCCTCAACATTTGTGAGGGATAGGTTTCTGGGATGCTTGCAGATGTAAAGTTTCGTTAATAACAGTTTTACTACCTAAATTAGGGACCAAAGGCTTTAAAAAAAATTAATTAATAGAGCAAAAAACTTTACTTCAGCCTTCTAAATACTACACAGGTACAGTCTCGTTCAAGATTCTTCGAACACTGCTGGCAACTCAAGGCCATTTGTTTACTATAGTACGTAGTAAAAAGTATGAATTAATGTAAAATTTCATCGGTGATTGGTTACTTAGTTCCCTGTTGCTTAATTAATGGTTGGGCTTTGTTGTTTCGTATTGTATTATGCTACGTACTATAGTAAACCAACGGCCTTGAGTTGCCAGTTGTCTCCAGCAGTGTTCAAAGAATCTTGAACAAGACTGTACATACAATTACTTTATACTGTGCAGTACAATTTTTTATGTATTAAAAAAAATAAATGAGAAAGCAATTGAATGTTGTGTGATGTTTGGGAAGTCAACAGGATTGCAGTACAGTAGTGGCAACCGCATCATCTACAGCAGCCTGCACCACACGGCTCATATCATCACTACTGTGCCATCAACATACACACACACACACGAATGAATGCTTAAGACACAATGCTGCGAATGAAAAATGCATACATATACTAAATATTGGGTTTTCCTTTCACAAACTTAGGGCTTGGAAGAATATACTATAATTTATACCAGTTATAAGTGTAATATCAACATTATGGGAGCAAAATATTTAGTAGTATTACTTATGTATATAAAGTGTACTTCTTTTACCTCATAATGAGCTGCTGTAGATATTACTGCTCCCCTTTCAGGACTCCGGACTGGGATCATCTAAAATGGCTGATGAAGGGCTGGCAAGTTAGGAAGCCGTATCGGTGGAATAAAGGGGAGAAGTAGGCTGTGAGCGTGGGAGGGGTGATGCAGACAACGTCAGGCTGGTTGATTAGGAGAGAGATGGGAGAGGAGGCTGGATCTCAGCATTAAAAACATTGTGGTTGGCAATTGTCTGGCATTCTCTTTTAGTTCTTTACAAATATTTTGGTAAGGTTGCAAAGCTTTCTCAATATTCTGTTTTGTTTAGCTTCTTAGCTCCTTTGATGGGTATGAGTCATTATGGTTGACTCACTCCAGATGCATTCATGTGCAAGAGAGTTCATCCAATGCTTCAATTTTCTGTGTAAGAGTCACCACTTTCTTTGCACCAGCTACACTACCACCAGTCAATGACCTTTTGGGAGTCATGACAAAGTTTTAATTAAAATTAAGATTGCTCAGGAGGAAGGAGGAGGAGTAAAAATTCCCGCAGCATGGCAACAGCAGATGAACCGGATGAGACTGGCAGGAGAACACAGCAACGCGGGAAGTGGCAGTATTTCAGATCATGGTGGATGCCCGCAGTTTTTAAAATAAGCACCATACCTTTTTATGTTATTTCAATAGATATACTGTAAACCTGTGAGGCTCCTTTGTGGATAATCAAGTTTGTGAAAGTTAGATTCACTATATTGACATTCTGGTCTACTTAAAAAACTAATGTAGAAAACCTTAAGTAGTGACAAACAAATTAGAAGAAATTAGTAGGTGTAATGAAATTAGTAATTGAAAAAGAATGAAAACTAGACCTGACTGACTAATGGCTAAATTTTTATTCCAGAATTGGTATAATTTCATCTCTTTAAACAACATTTGACACATACCTCCTCATACTTTCTCATCTTTTCCATAACTTCCCTTACTCTTTACTTTATTCCCATCTAGCTACTATTCACCTAACCACTCATCTCTGTACAGGATATATTGGGTAGTGATGGTGTGCTGATCATGCCAACAGCACCTGAATTGTACTACCATGGACAGTCTTGTGTGACCATCTATGATGCATGTATTGCTAGCCTCTTCAATGGCATAGAATTTCCTGCAACAGCTGTACCCCTGGGACTCTCTAATGATGGACTACCACTGGGTGTACAGGTAAGTCCATATACAGTATACAAGGTTGAGCCATCTCACTCCATGTGAATTGTGGTCGACTGTGATATACAGTACAGTACTCTACAAGTAATTTTTACTTTACTTTCAAGTCTTTACTTGAATATAATACAGAGTGGTTCAAATCAAAGTACGTTCACACACTTTTACTGTCATTCAGTCATTTTTACAATAATGTCCCAAATATCACTAGTTTAACCAATGTTTACATAGTATCAGGTGTCAGTAATTCATCCTCGCCTGAAAATCACTCGAAGGCATGCTTTCCTTTCATTCATACACACACTACTGCTTCCTGATTGTAGGTCATAAATAAAGAACTGAAGCATGAAATTATTTTTTGTAACTAAGGAGAAGAAAATATCCTTCCCACTTTCCTTGGCAGGATTAGAAATTGAGAGGATCATTGTAGGAACTCCCTTTATTTTACCTAGAGATGTTCAGGTTTTGTGAGTCACTTGAATGGGTTTAAACTAATCAGTAGAGGACCTATAAATATTATGTCCAGCATTTATTATCAAGCAGTGAAACCATGGATTTCTTTCTTGTCCCCTGGTCACCACCATGACTGTATTGTCTCCCCTTTAACCCTCCCTTACACACATCTGAAGATGTCTTGAATAAAGACGAAAGCTAAGGTGCTCCGTTGTTTCCCTTTTTTCCGTGTGATTTTATCAAGATTTATCTTATCCACGTTTTCATTGTGGATCTACATGAGATATATGTGTATGCACCCCCTTATTATTAGTGTGTTACTATTACTTTTACATTTATCCTCTTCACCACTGATCGGCTCGCTAGCCGCTTGGGCGATCGGTCACGTCTCTGATTACTTTTCCTTTTCTTTTATCCTCTTCACCAAAAGATCGGCTCGTTAGCCGCTTGGGCGATCGGTCATGTCTCGGTTACGCACTGTTGGCAAGTACTGGGCACGCACTGGCTCCTGAATGTACCTGAACCCGCTCCAGTGTTGGTCAAGTCTGGTCTTGAAAGAGCTCACACTTGGTGCCGGCAAAACACTTTCTGGTAGATTGTTCCAAGAGTTCACAACTCTCACTCCAAAAAAGTTTGCCCTCACAGTTTTCTGGACTTGCGGCTTCTTCAATCTTGAACTGTGACTCCTTGTGGGGCGAGCGTCCGCCAGCTCCAAGTAAGGACACTCGACTGAGTAGTGCCCCTTGAGATGCTTATACACCTTAATTAGGTCACCCCTTGCCCATCTGTAGTATAAGCTAGGCAAATTCAGTTTTCAACCAACTGACAGTCCCTAGCATATCTCGGGGACCAGACAGGATGACAGTACTCCAGATGGGGAAGCACTTCACTCTTGAAGATCGTTACGTAGGACGGACCGTCTAGATATCTGAATGACCTTCTTATAAGACCCAATAATTTATTTACCTGATTTACCTTCTTCTCGCAATGGCCCGAGAACTTCAGCTCCTTGTCAACATACACACCGAGGTCCTTCTCACATTCAATCTCAAATAGTGCAGTTTCTTCATCCCGTTGGGACATATGATAAATAATAATAATAATAATAATAATTAACGGTTTATTGAAAAAGTTCTGCAGCCCGAAGGCTGAAAATATACATTGGACATAAATGACTTATTTCATACATTGGTGGTTTAACAAAAGCCTTCATTAGAGAAAGGTAAAGGAACATACAGTGAACATACAGATTAATGTAGGTGTTGAACAGCAAAAACGTAGGTAGTAACTCCTCCCAGATGGTGTTAGGAGGGACCTCACGGGTGTAGTAGTTCCTCACAGATGGTGTTATGAGGGGCCCCACGTGGTGTAGTACCTCACAGATGGTGTTATGAGGGGCATCACGTGGTGTAGTAATTCCCTCACAGATGGTGTTATGAGGGGCCCTACGTGGTGTAGTAATTCCTCACAGATGGTGTCATGAGGGCCTCACGTGGTGTAGTAATCCCTCACAGATGGTGTTATGAGGGCCTCACGTGGTAGTAATTCCCCACAGATGGTGTTATGAGGGGCCTCACGTGGTGTAGTAATTCCTCACAGATGGTGAGGCTCAACGTGGTAGTAATTCCCTCACAGATGGTGTTATGAGGGGCCTCACGTGGTGTAGTAACTCCTTCACATATGGTGTTATGAGGGGCCTCACGTGGTGTAGTAATTCCTCACAGATGGTGTTATGAGTGAGGTGGTTCCAGGCCTTCCTATCGTGAGACGGATTAACACATCGCTGGTAGTTGGGTCTCACGGCCGTTATCACTGGGTACCTGGGACCTCACTGTGTGAAAGGTCAACTTGGGTACCACTGTTACTGTTGAGTTGTTCTCACTGACTTAAGCACTGTTCACCACTGTTCACCTGTTTAACACTGGTTCCATTTCTTTCCTAAATGAAATAGTAACTTCTGGCGTGAACTTGTTGATATTCCGGTGGGGAGGAGGGTTCAGGAGGGAGTTGGTATGGGCCAACATAACAGTTGACCTGGCTGCTCCGAGAGGAGCGCCAGGTACGTCTTGACCTCGTATCGGTGGTCAAGGATGCGCCTCCTTAACCGTTGGTACATCCCAGGTGCATCCTCTTACACTTCGTGACATTAAATCTCAGCAGCCATTTCTTCGACCATTCTTGGAGCCCACAGAGGTCCTTCTGCAGCTCTTCACAGTTCGCTTGGTTCTTGATTTCCCGAAATAACTTGCCATCATCGGCAAACATTTGTAAGGAGGAGTGTACAACGTCAGTCATGTCATTTATGAAACAAACAACAGCGGGCCCAATACACTGCCCTGTGGTACCCCGCTTGTGACAGGTACGGATGATGATTTCATGCCATTAATCACCACACACTGCTTGCGGTCATGTAGAAAGTCTTACATCCACGCTTGGACATTTCCCTGAATTCCGTACCCTTCCAGTTTGATTTTCAGCCTTTCGTGGGGTACACTGTCGAAAACCTTGGCAAAAACCTAGGTAAATATTGTCGATATTACCATCCCGTTCCAGAATATGGGTCCAAATATCCAATACCTTGAGCAATTGTGTTAAGCAGGAGCACCCCGGCATAAAACCGTGTTGGCAATCCTTCACAAGGTTGTTTGGTAGTAGATGTTCCATCGCGGTATATTAAAACTGTATACAGTGATATCCCAATTAGCCGGAACAATTGGTGTAGAGTACTTCCGGGGATGAGAGATTTCCTGGTAACAAGACGACTTTCTCAAACCCGGAAAAATTTCATATCCCCAGAACCTTTTCCAGTTACTGGGAAAAGTTTTTGAGTGTCTAAACTAGACCTCTTGCACAGTTGCACACTAGCCCACTTGCCCAGAACGTTTCTAATTAAGTTAGAACTTCATTTCTTTACTATGAAAATCCAGAATAGTTTATCTAAAAATTTGGTAAAATATATATAAAAATTAAAAATATATAGGATATGGGCATAAATGAAGCTGTGTGTTACAGCAAAGACTATAATTTTCTACTCCCTTGGAGCTGTGGGTGATTAGTGGGTCTCGTGTAACTGACCTGACCTGATGCAATGTCAGGTGGAGGTAGAGTGGGGTATTAGTGGTCTCCTATTACTGACCTTCTGATGGAATGTCAGGTCACTCTTTCTTGGGTGGAGGATTAGTGGGTCTCATGACCTGAAGACATCTTGAATATACACAAAACCTAAAATATTTTTAGAGAAATTGTGGTAAGTACAGATATAAGTATAAATGAGCAAAGTTGTATCCCTTCAACATTGTTTCATAACATTTTAAAATATGGAGTGAGAAAGCAGAAAGGTGTGGGTAATTAGAGAGATGGAGTGGAAATGAGTGTTGTGAAGCGCTCCTCAACAGCCGATATTTAACTCGTTACCATGCAGTCACACACAGGCAGATGTGTCTTAATTCCCTTGCTGGGGGTGTGTAAGTGTTGTTGGAATGTGTGTGTGTGTGTGTGTGTGTGTAATAATAATAATAATAATAATAAATGGTTTATTGAAAAAATTCTGTAGCCCGAAGGCTGAAAATATACATTGGACATAAATGACTTATTACATACATTGGTGGTTTAACAAAAGCCTTCATTAGAGAAAGGTAAAGGAACATACAGTGAACATATTGATTAATGTAGGTGTTGAACAGCAAACTTGTAGTGTAGTAACTCCCTCCCAGATGGTGTTAGGAGGAACTCACTTGGTGTAGTAGTTCCCTCAAATGTTGTTATGAGGGACCTGGCGTGGTGTAGTAATTCCCTCGCAGATGGTGTTATGAAGAGCCTCACGTGGTGTAGTAATTCCCTCACGGATGGTGTTATGAGGGACCTCACGTGGTGTAGTAATTACCTCACAGATGGTGTTATGAGGGACCTCACGTGGTGTAGTAATTACCTCACAGATGGTGTTATGAGGGGCCTCACGTGGTGTAGTAACTCCCTCACAGATGGTGTTATGAGGGGCATCACGTGGTGTAGTAATTCCCTCACAGATGGTGTTATGAGGGGCCTGACGTGGTGTAGTAATTCCCTCACAGATGGTGTTATGAGGGACCTCACGTGTGGTAATTCCCTCACAGATGGTGTGATGAGGGACTTGACGTGGTGTAGTAATTCCCTCACATATGGTGTTATGAGGGACATGTGGTGTAGTAATTCCCTCACAGATGGTGTTATATGAGTGAGGTTTGGTCCCAGGCCTTCCTATCGTAGACGGATTAACACATCGGTGGTTGTTGTTGGGTCTCGCGGGGGCCGTTATCACTGGGTACCTGGGACCTCACTGTGTGAAGGTTAACTTGGGTACGACTGTTAGTATTGGGTTGTTCTCACTGACTTAAGCTCTGTTCACCACTGTTCACCTCTGTTTAACACTGGTTCCATTCCTTTCCTAAATGAAATTGTAACTTCTGGCAAGAACTTGTTGATATTCCGGTGGGGAGGAGGGTTCAGGGGAGGGGGTTGGTATGGGCCAACTTAACAGTTGACCTGGCTGCTCCGAGAGGAGCGCCAGG